CATATTTTTACTTAATTATTTGTATACATGTTGTTTCCTCCAATAGAAGGTAAGTTCTCTGAGGGCAGGGACTATTTCATTTTGTCTTTGTATCTGCAGTAAAGAAGCAGCATGTAATAGTCAATAGAGAGCCAGCCTCAAAGTCAGGAAGAACAAGGTTTCAAGTCCTCTCTTTGACATATACTGACCGTGTGACCCTGGAAATTTGTATAACCACTCAATGCCTCTAGGAGGCACCCTAAAAAGTATAAAGTGCAGAACAGTTGCTGACATGCACTGGTAAAAGGAGTCTCTTCATTAAGAGTTCTTTTTCACCAATGAAGTCACAGGCCTGACTGAAAAAATAAAAAATAAAACAAAAAATCCCCCAAAACAAACAAACAAAAGCCTCCATCCCTTTGTTCAGCATCTGGCACCCAATAGGTGCTTAATAAACGTTTGCTGAGTTAAATTGAATATTATGTGTAAATCACTTCTCTCTGGATTTCATTTTCTTCATCTGTCAAATAAAGATGTTGAATTAGCTGATCTCCAGAGTCTCTCCTAGCTATAAATTCTATGATTCTGTAATCAAGGAGCAGTAATACCTTCCCTGACTATCTCATATGGATGTGATGAAGGTCAAATGAAATAATGTGTATAGAGGTATTTGTAACCTGATTTGAAGTTAGGTTGATCAGGGCTTATTTACAAATTCATTAGAAAAGTGAAATAATACTCCAGAAAGGAGACCACAGTCTTTCTTCACTCTTTACTGTGTAAAAATAAACTCAACAATTCATGTAGTTTCTGCAAGAAAATGAAAAAGAAAGAAAGAAAAGCAAGAATACCAGTAGAAACAGTGCATTTCCAGAACTGCTGATGGGAGGTGGCAGGTCCCATGACTCTGACCCATTTGAAACCCAAACGGCTGCAGATCATATATGAAAAATGTACAGCTTTGGTTAGCAAATAATGAAAAAGTAAGATACACAGATTCTCTTTAACACTATACAATATATACATTGTATCAAGAGCAACCATAGAAGGGTTGGGGATTTGTTAGTTATTTTGTGGGACTGCTGTTTTTTTTTTTTGCAAGTCAGATGAAATTGGGACTATTTGAGTTGAATTTGTTTCCTCCTCAATAATTTGTTCCCCCTTCAGCAAACTGCAGTTAAAGTTCACTGCTTATTGAAGCAATGTGTTCCCAGTCCTTTATTGAGCAAATGTAAATTGTAAAGTATTTTAACAGATCAGACTATGAGGGCTTCCAGTTAACTTTTTTTGGTGACTGTAGATTATAAAAGATTAACTTCTATTTTGTTTTGTTTTTCTTTTGTGTTTGTGAATTTTTGTCTTTTGTTGCTGTTGTTTCAAACAATAGCCCCAATTTCTTTACTTTTTTTTTTAAAGGGGATGAAATAGACATTCAAATGTCCAGCTCATTCCACTTAAATGGAAACAGCTCTGGGACAAAGGGTTCACCTTAAATTTTTCTTAGTCTTGGTCCCCACTACTCTTAATAAACAGGCAGAACTTCTTTGGAGCTGTTCAAAATGGCTCTAAAACATCTTATCTCCTCTCCCCCCTCCAAAATACTCCTAACCCCTTGGCCTCAGGTCCCAGGGCTGGTGACGAGATGACCTTTGCAGTCCTAGAAAATAAATGGGGAGTCTGCAAAAGGGAGGGAAACATACAAAATCTACTATCTTTCTTCCAAAATACACACATACCAGTCTAAGTTTTGGTAGAGCCTGAAAAATATTTTCAAGGGAGAAATTATATGTTAATTTATATGTTTGTCTTTTTTCTCATAAAAATACTTTTGTTTGGTAATAAACTTTTTTTTCTTCTACAATAAGAGAGATAATACTGTATTATCAAAAGCAAGAAGGCTTAAAATCCAAGTGGGATCTCAGCTCCCAAGAGACCAGAAAGGCTATTTCAACAGTTCTCCCAATTCAGATGCCTCTGGGAGCTGTCGGACACTGGCTAGGCAAAAACAAACACTGTCTCAACAGTGCTTTTTTATCTCCTTATTTTATAAAATGGCATTACCTGAGAGAGGCATGTATTATTCAGTGCAAGAGGGAACATCAATCGGATTAAGGAATACATGGAAACTGAGTGGATTGGATTGGTGGCTTTGTCATCTGCCTTACCTGGGGCAAGCAGCATGCCAAGTACAAACACAGTGAGGGAGCTGAGGAGCTTGGCACTGACCCCAATTAGGGGATGAAGAAGGGTGCTGAGGACTCAGTCCCGGCCATCCTGTGTATCTCTAGGAGAGCTTGGAGGAAAGGGAGATGGGTGAGAGGATGTTTTAGAGCCATTTTGAACAGCTCCAAAGCCCCAGGGTGGGTGGGGGATGGTGGTGGAAGAGAGGAGGAATAGAGGTAAAGGTGTGGAGAGAATGGATTGAGATGCTGGAAAGGCGTAAGCATAAGGGTTAAGCTCTGTCTGACTATCTAGTTAAAGACAGAGAATGGCTTGTGGTCCTGAATGGACAGCTCCCACCTTGCCTGGTTAAGGGCAGAGGGTGGTCTGGGGTCCAGTAGGTGGGGGCTGGGGCTGGTGGTAGGTGCAGGTAGGACAGCACCGAGTACACTTTGGGCCCTTCACCGACATTATACAACAGCTCCACAAAAAGAGGGAGCAGGGCCTTCTTGGACCAGAGGGACAATCCCAAGCTCTCTCTCCCTGCTTTGGGTATCATTTGAGCTTGGTCTCACCTTCATTTCTGTGTTTGTGTGCATATGTATGTGTTTTGTGTGTGTTTGTGTGTGTGTGTGAGTGTGTGTTGGGGAGAAGATTTTATCTATCCCTTAGCCTGGATTATACAGCCATTTCTGATTGCTACACATAGATCACAGAACATTTGAGAGGGAGCTCAGCAAACAACACAACTCTGCAAGAACCCATGCAGACAAAGGAATGAACACACCAGACCAAGGCAGCAAGGAACACAACATCCAGAAAAACATGCAAACACAGAAGCCATCTTCAAATCCAAGGGTGTCACAAGCCACAAGGCTTTGAGGAAATATAACCATGGAAGAATGCCAGTCACCATTTGTAACAACATACATCTTGTCATACAATCCATGCCCTTTAAATAAGAGAAATGTATCTCAGAACCAATGGCTATGTGCTGAACAGACATACATAAGTACATACATACACACAAGGTGTGTGCATGCATTCACACACACACCACACACACCCATTTTTAGACGTGAGATGGACCTGTGTTTAAGTAGACAGGTGACCCTGTTAGGGAACATAAAACTTAGACACCTGTATCTGCTGCAGAAATGTCTGGGGCTGCAGATGAGCCAGGTGGTAATAATTGAATTTCTAGAAAGATGTACAAGCCCATTTTTCATTAGACTCTGGCAACAACATTGGGAGGTGCCCTCAGGGTGCACAACTTCCAGATGCTGAAAAAGCAGAGCTCACACTAAACATGGGCATGGTTCTCTCAACTCTTGCACACATACACACACACACACACACTCACACACGCAGTTTCCCCTCTTACTTGGAAGGACAAGGGGAGAATTCTTAGATAACATCAAAAAGTAGGGGAAAAGGCCTTCTGGTTATTTAGATAGAAGCTAAGTGAGCCACACAACCAAAGGAAGTTTGGCTTTGCTGGACTTGGGTTTTACAAAATTAAAGAGGGAATGGAGGGACCAAGCAGCTGAAACTTGTCTCAGGAATCAGAAACTTGTCTTAGAAGTCTAACCCAGATCATCTTTGCTTTATGAAGGCTTGTTTAACTCCTGAAGGTTAGGTCTAGAAATATTGGGAGGCAAGAGAAAAAATATTTAAGTAAGAAGCCTTCCTGGGTTGCCTGGTTGGGTTTTGAGCCCCATCAGAGAGGGTCTGGATCTTAGCCACATATCAATTTTCTTATAAAATGGGGGGGGGGAATCCCATTAAACTAATATACTCAGACCTTCTACTCTCCAAATTGCATGATGTAGTGTCAAGAACACCATAATTTGAGTCTGAGTACCTGGATTTGAATCCTGGCTTTGCTACCGCACAACTGAGTGACCTTGGGCTAATTGCTTCACCTCTGTGAGCCTCAGTTTCCTCATCTATAAAATGAGAGGGTTGGACTAGGTCATCCTAAGTTTCAAATACTATGATCCTAAGACCCAACCAAGTGTGAAGGTGGGTGAGGAAGTGGAGATGTGGCCTCCCTGGGACATGAGATGGGGTACTCCTATCTTGTGGGTTACCAGGGTTGGAACACTGCACCTGGGACCCACCTGGCAGTTAAGTGAAGGAGCAAGCTGCAGCCTCATATGATGCAGTGAAGTGAAGAGAGTGAGGCTTTTCCCACAGGACTCCCATAGTGCTCCCCAAAAGGGGCACAATACTTTCCTGGTCTTGGGAAAGAGCCTGGCACAAAACACAAGTGAGTATTATGGCTTCCCTAGCTTTGGTGTATCCTCAGGTACAAAGAGCTGAGGAACAGGTCAGGTGCCAATGGTTGCCAACAGGGTTAGCCAGAATGCTGAGGCCAATACTATCCTTCCTCCTTCTTCACTGGAATCATCTCTCCCTCTCCCAATGGGAGTAGGCAGAGCCATTCAAAGTGCCATGTGAGTATGGAGTCATTCAAAGAGAATTCATTTTTAATACAAAATAAAAATTCTCTATGGCGAGGTGCCCTAGCCTTTAACAAACTTCATAAAAGGCATTTATTATATCAATATAGAGACATGTCCTTCTTAAAAAGGGTTGCAAATGAAGACAAATGAGTGTGCTCAAGAAGTTGCACCAGCCCAAAGGCACTCAGGCATCTAACAAAGTTGGCAAATACAGGAATTTGACTGATTGTGAAATTTCCCAAAGCCAGAAGGAAAAATAGAGAAGGAAGGGAAAAAAGCCTCATTCCAAAAGAAAAGCCCCCTTCCTCTGACCAAAAAAAAAACCAGCAAAAAACTTTTCACCTACTTTTGCATGATTCAAAAGTTTGGTACCATTGCTTTTACTGTGGACAGGGGATGCCTGAGGAACTGAGTCCAAGGCTCCTAGAGAGAAATGCGTTGTTCTTTGGGGACTGACAAGACAAGTGACTCTGCTTCAGGGGAGAGACAAACAAAACAAGGAGGAGTGTTTTAAGGAAGGGGGCAGAACTATCCTTAATTAACTTTTAAGGAAGGAAGAGAGGAAAAGACAAATGGGTCAGAACTGCTTAAGCAGGGAGGAGAGATGGGAATGGGAGGGAGGGGCAGGCAGGAAGAAGGGAGAAAGGCAGCTCCAAAGCAGTTAGTTAATCTGACGACAAGCTTCAAATGTCCACTTAGTAGCCCCACCATAGATGTCAATGTTGGTCTCAGCCCAGGCAATGACATTTCCAGACAGAGCTTTGGTGCTGCAGGTGGCCAGGTTGTAGATCTCCCCAGAGGTAAGTTTTCGGTCCCAGATGTTGAAATGAGCCAGTTCACCAACAAAAGCCTGTGTGGCATCGAATCCACCACCCAAAGTATCCTTTCAAAGAAATATAGAGAACATAGAGGAGGAAGGTAGTGGTTAAGGTGAGGGTCAGGAAAGTGGGTGACCCTGGGAAATTTCAGTTCTGGCTTGCTGCCTCATTAGGAACGTTGATCATCCTAATGCTGTTTGTGTGTCCTTCTGTGTGCCTTTCTGTTTCTGCTTGTTTATCTTCCCCTCTGTTTACCTGCGAAGACTGTCTTTCTGTGTGAATATGTATGCATATATGTACATCGTGGTTTTTTTTCTGTTTATCCACATTTCTGCATTTGGCAACAAAGTATTTTTTGAATGTTAAAATTCTATATAAACATGAGATATTGTGTGTGTGAGAGAGAGAGACAGAGACAGAGACAGAAATACAGAGAGAGCCAGAGTCAGAGAGAGAGAGAGAGAGAGAGAGTCAGACAGAGACAGACAGACAGTCAGAGACAGACACAGAGAGTCAGAGACAGAGAGAGAGAGAGACAGAGAGAGAGAGAGAGTCAGACAGAGACAGACAGACAGTCAGAGACAGACACAGAGAGACACAGAGAGAGAGAGAGAGAGAGAGAGAGAGAGAGAGAGAGAGCAGCTTTGTCAACTTTGTCGTCTCCTGTTTGGAGTCTATCTGTAAATTTAACTCTGACTGTCTGTATGTCTCTGCTTCTGTCTTTGTCTCTATTCTCTGTCTGGATCTCCCTCTATTTATTCTATAGGGATCATGTGGAATATAAATGCCCCTAGTCTTTTCCCTGACCCTGATGTATTTTCCTACAGGGGAGGATGTAATAGAATCTAGCTTTTCTAGAGCTGGAGCCTGGAGCCTGGAACCTGGGGTATGGGTGGATCTAACAGGAACGAGGGCCGTTCAAGATTTTGTCCTTGCTTTTCATTTCGTATATCCTTTTCTTTCTGTCTCCTCCATTCTAATTCCTCAGCCCAGGAATGAATGTTTTGAATGTTTTGAATGTGCAGAAAAGAGCTTACAGACTTGGGAACTCCCCACTAGATGCCACCAGAAAGTAAATTACTTACTAATAAACATTTAATTTAAGATAATGGCTAGATCAATTTTCAGTATCAAAACCAATAAAAATGAAGAACCAAGCTAGTATTTTTATAATCAGAGTATCTAATGAGAAAATATGAACTTTTTTCCCCCAGTAATTCATGGTAAAGTGTTCTGCTTAATGCCTTGGCTTAGTTCATTCTTACTTGCGATCTCTGAATCTTTGCATCTTTGTATCTTTACACTAGGAAATTTTCACTCAAGTGTGAAAATGAAAGAATAAAATGTCATTTTATGAAACATTGTTCTACATGGAATTAAATTGATACTATGAATTATAAGTTCATTTGTTTATTTTTAAATAAAGGTAGTAATGATAACAATTTTTGTTGGTTCAGATCTATGATTTCATTAGTATGGGGAACTTTCAGTGTGGAAACTCCTTCCGCTTATGGAGATCAGTGGCTCCTCTATACATCTTTAGCTTAAAGCCTTAGACAATTGAGGGGTTTCAAGATTTCCCCATAGTTACACAACCAGTATCTAGCAAAGGCAGGATTCAAACCCAGGTCTTCCTGATGCAATAATGATAATAATAATGACAATAACAATGATTACCAGGAGCACTGAGGTCACAGTTCACTTGTGCTTGAGATCCCTATAAATGTCATCAAGATCAGGAGTTTTGCTTAGTCAAGTTATTTAACCTCTTGGATACTAAGTTTCCTCATCTCTAAAATAGAAATAATATTTGCACTGCTTTCTGCAAAGGATTGTCATGATACAAGTGCTTTGTAAACCTTAAAGTTCTATAGAAATGTGAATTATTGGGAATATTATAATCCCCATTAACTCTCTTTTCTCCCTTAGCTGTGATGTATAGCCCTCAGTTCCCAGAAGAAAATGGTTTCATTTTCACTACTGCTTTGTCATTCTTTCCTTCTAGCCCAGAACCCTATCTTTTGATCATACTTCTTCCATGGACATCTTGGGTCCCTCCCTAGGTGCTGCCCTCCCAACTATCCCAGTTCCCATTTGACCAGTACCTGCTCTTGGCCCAACACAAGCACACCCTGTGGTTTGATTGGGTGGTAGGGTGCCAGGTTCTCTCCATTGCCTCCTTGAGTGCCATCCTGGTAGGCCTCCCAGACACCATCCCGTGTGGTCCAGGTGATACAGATGTGATGCCACTTACCATCATTGATAACAAAGGGTAGCTTGGCCACCTGAGGCAGGGAAGGAAAATAGTGCTTTTTTAATTCCTTTTCACATCTCAAGTCCATTTGGTCTTAGCTTACTATAACAGTATGTACATCTTTGACATTACTGTTTGAATCATCAATTCAGCAAACATTGATTAAACATCTCACTTCCAAAGACAAGGCACTGTGCTTTCATTTATCTTTGTTATTCATGTTATGATTACTTCTAGTTCTATTACAAGAAACAGTGTGGTGTAGTGGGAAGAGTGATGGATGTAGAATCAAGAAGATTTGGGTCCACATTCTGCCCTTAATGCTTACTAGTCAATGGTAAGTACAGGGGCAAGTCACCTAAGCTCTCTTGGCCTCAATTATCTCATCTATAAGATGGGGATGGTAATGCCCATAACTCATAGGGTTGTTATGAGACTAAATGTGTAAAGTGTTTTGTAAAATTTAAAGCACCATAGAAACATCAGTTATTATTATTAAGCCAATTACAAAAATATTTAGTATGTGGCCAAAAGCCATATTTTCCCCAAACTCATCATCTAGGCCTGGAAATATTAACCCAGAATTAAGATGCACAGACATCAGTCACATCATCCTAGGATGCAGTATATACGAAATATCTATTGCCAAATGATAAACCCCTTAATTTGACTGACAAGGCAAATGTGTGAGTGTGAAGGGGGTGGGGGGAGTAAGGACTGGAGATGGACCTGACACGCCTCCTGATATGTCTCCTTTCTTCATCTTTTGTTCATCACCTTAATCCATACTATCAAAGTATCCCCAATAGAAGAGCCTAGCTAGAGCTCTGGTCCATCTCTTTTCAAAAACACATAATTCTAGACAGAATGTAGACTGCAGTAACTTGGAAAAACAAAGGCTTTGGCTAGACATGGAGCTGAGACTGGAATTAACCAATGCCTTCTCCATCCACTCCATTTTCCTCCTCCTGGATTGCCTCTCCCTGCATATTTTCTGTTTTTTAATTATTAGATGTCCCAAGTTTCAAGCTCTCTAAGTCCTGAGCTTCTGCAGAAGAGGTGCTGGAGAAACTGAACAGGTGCATCAACATAGATGGCACTGCAGTCTAAACGCGCAGACCCTTTTCCCATCTGTGATCTCATTAATCCTCCAACTTTCCTCTGGAATGAGAGGACAGAAAGGATATTATATATATATGTGTGTACATATATCTGTATATGTATTTGTGTGCATATATGTATATATGTAATTTTTTATATTTATTATCAAGGGTATTATTATTCTTCATATTTAGGGTTAAATGGTGGTCCAGAGGTGCCAAGCAATCGGTTTAAGGTCATACAATCAGGGAAAGTATAGGCATAAATTCTTAGGTGTCCTGAGATTTCCAGCCTAGGCTCTAACCATTTAATATTAATTGGGAAAGGTGGATATTTAATGGTTGATAAACTAACTCCAGGGCTTATTGGTGACTGTCATAGAAGATATTTCAGTGAAGAATAATAGCTCTCATTTATAAACTGCTTTAAGGTATAAAAAGTTGTAAGGTGTAAAAGGGTGATGGTACATACATTATTATTCTCCTTTTACAAAAAGGTTAAGTGGCTTTCCCATAGTCAGACAGCTAATAAGTGTCAGCACCAGTGCTTATGCCTGATCATCTGACTCCAAGTCTATCAGAATAACCACCACACTGACAATGAAAGGTCAGTCTCCCTGGCCTAGACCCATCCCAGGAAATAGGAATGGGAGAAGATGAAAAACAGAGGTTAGGGTGCTGTCTGAGAATTTCCCAGGGATCCAATATACTTCTTGGATATCTCTAGGCCACAGGACTCAAAGGGTCAGATCAATTCAGGGGTCAGTCTTAGGTTTTGGGATTGCTTTGGGAAAGCATGAGGAATCCATTTGTCTGAACCTCTTTCTCCTTCCTAGCACAACTCTGGAACTGACCCAGGATATTTAGTATTGGTAATGTCCAACGTCTAGCCTGGAAATTATTAGAGTTTGGACTCTAGCCCAGGTTTGGCCCAGAACCATATTGACCTCAAGATGATGAGGGGATTTTAAACAAATCCATCTCTCTTTGGTCCCTTCCACATCTTTCCATTAACCTCTAGAAAGACCACTAGCTTCTTTTCCCTCAATTATTTTTAGTATATGTTATGCACCATATATAACACACACCCTATTCTTGGGAAGCTTCCATTTGGTGGTTTCTGTTCCACTTTGTTCTAAGAAGACTAAGTTAACAGGGGAGGGAATTCCACTCAAAAGAGAAAGAGTGGACTCCCTCCTTCATGCTCCTCTGAAACCCAGCTACTCCAGTAACAATGCAAGGTATGGATTCCATTCAGTTCAGTGTATGGTTCTAGACCTGTCAGTCCAACTGGCAGATCCTTAAGCTGAACGATCTGCCTGACATACTGAAATTTCCTTCTTTCTTCATTATTACTTAGCTATGGGACCTTGAGTCATTCCATTTCCTAGGTCTACCTATAAAAGAAGAGGGTCCCAACTCAAGCATTCTATAACTGCTTTTGTATAAGTCCAATGTCTGGAAGTGTTGGGGGTTTGGGCACTCTTACCTTGTCATTTATGAGGATCTCCATTGGGTTATTCCCCCATTCAATTAGGACCAGCTCATTGGCCTGCCCTGGCACAGCATAGGAGAATGGAGTCCCCACTCCAGGGGAGGCATTTGATTTTAGCCACATGCAGATAGTGAAGGCATACATTTCTGGAAGACTTTTTTTCACCTTGGCATACATATAGTTGGTTCGCAGTGGGAATGTGAGCTGGAACTTGTCCCCAGGCCTGTTGTCTTTCTGACCTAGGAGAAAAGTAGAGGGAAGCTGAGCATGTACTAGCTATGTATGTATGCATGTACTCTGCAGACAGGCAAGTGGGACAACCTGTATACCTAGAATTCATTTACAGACATGTATGAGAATGGGATATGCAAAATACATGTAAATGCATGTTTTGAGCAAGAGTGGGTGCAAAGTGTGACTACTAAGGAATAAGAATGATTTATTGCCAAATAAACCAGAGTTTCTATATCCAAAAGAAGATTGTCTCCTTTCAGAGCACTTGGTCAGAAGGCTAGACACCTAGTTCCAGGGATACTGGTGCAGATCAAAAAGCCTCTTTGGAAAGTGCCTTCAGAGCTAGTTTAGAAGCAAACCAGTCTCCCTACTTTATAGCCACACTTCATTTTGTTATCAATTAGAAAGCATATTTCTCATCTTTATCAATCCCTTATTCATCAGATATGGCTGTGGGGAACTCTTGACTATTTGCAAAAAAAAATCTAATTCACCTTCAAAGGGGCACGTTTTCCAGCATCAAGGATATTCCCAAGATGTGTGCCAGGCTATGAAGACAGTACCAAAGAAGAGTATCCAAAATATTTTGAGCAGCATTGCATATAACTGTCTTGGTGACTACTTGGAAGAGACAACACCAATTTAGATGTATAAGTAGATTTGTTTAAAAATGAGTCACAATATTTTATAGCCAGACCTTGAATAAATAGAATATGAACCCCAGATATATGAACCTAGGGATCCTTACATATAAGCATCTCTATGTTTTAACAGTTCCTACATATGCCTATGTTTGCATAGTTCATGGTTCCCTGTATCAATATGTCCTAGCATGTACATGTAGTGACTGATTGCAACCATTTCTAGTCTGTGTATAAACAGATGAGCCTTGACATATACACACATAGGAGCAGAGTTCAAACTGCAGACTACATGCTGCATACAATCAGGACCTCAGATCTTTGTGCACCTGCACGGTGGAAAAGAGACAGGAGGCTGGACTGACTCTAGACTAAGGAAATTGGGAAATGCCTGATGACTTCTCTGAGGGAGGCATAGCAGGCAGGGCAAGATCTGAGGACATCCCGCCTCCACATCCATCTTTCTACCTCCCAGAAAGCCTGAAGGACGTGAGCAAGGCCTCTCCACTCAGTTAAGTGGCTTTCCTAACCCTTCCTCACCCCCTACTTTCATCTGTCTCTTTGTCCTCCATACTTCTTCCATTCATGCTTCCCTCTCGATTTGCAGATCCCCACTTGGTTTGACTGAATCCACATCTCTTGCTTCTCTTGTTTTGTTGTTCCTTTTTTTCCTGAGCATGTTCTCTGCATCTTCTCTCCCACCTCCCTATCCTGCTTTCTTTCTTTCTAATGATCTATTTCACCCCCCCTCCAGTTACATAACAGGCCTTAAGATGGCAGTGTTTAAATCCCTCCAGCACATTTTGCAGTCTAATCCCTATCACGTGTCATGAGCTCTGGGAATCAGCTCTCTCCCTTTTACAACCTTATTTGATTTCTGACATCAAGCAAAGAGTTGCTCCTGCTAATCAATATGCCCAAGGCATGGTACGTGGAGTTTGAATGGGAGTAATAATCACCCAGCTTGTTGAAGTTTGAGAAACAAAATCTTCTGGGAGAGCAAAATGTGCCCTGGATTATGTTACAATCCAGGGCACATTTTGCTCTATATTTGTTCTATATGTTACATAGAGTGAAAAACTGCAGATTGTGTCTGTAAGAGCATTAAGGCATTGTGAATGGATGGGAAGTGCCAGTAGAATCCCATGAGGACAGCAGGAAAACTCATATAGAATGCTATTATGTAGCCCAGGTGGAATCTTAGTGAGAGGGTAGGACTAGGTCAGAATGTTGGTTGAGCCCAGCTATAATCCTGATGAAATGTGCCAAGAACAGAACATACTGGGTGGGGTTGCCCACATCAAATTGGGATAAATTAACCAATAAAGCTTCTGATGAATTTTAAGAATTCAGGATAAAAAAAAAAATCAGTTGACCAGAGAAGGTTTACTCTCTCTCACTGGAGCTGCCAACAGCAATTAGTGCTAAGATCTGGATAATTTTAGGGTCTGATATTATGGAGGAGAGATTAAGAGCTTAAATGATTGATGGAAAGTGACAGTGAGGGTGGTAGGGTTGAGGAGAAGATGGTTGCAGCAGGTAGCTGGGTGAAAGGGCATTTCTGAAGCATTAGTTTGCACCGAGATCATCAATCTAAAAGTGAGTCTATAACCCACACCTACTGTCCCGAGTAGTGTTTACCTTTCTCCAGGTCACTGATCCTTTGATGGAGGGATGTTAGAGTGCTCTCTATCTTGACCCTCTCCTCAGTCTCATTCTTGGGGTTCAACTTCCCTTCCTCCAGACTATTCACTCGAGACAAAACTTGCTTCTCTAGGTCATCGATCTTGTTCTGCAACATGTCCTTAAGGCTGTTGGTCTGGCTTGAAGAATTGAGTCTACTGTACTGCTGCAGAGACACAGAGGTGGGGGGGGTGGGGGACGAACAACAACAACAAAATGATTAGCTGTACAGTCAAGAATGCTTGGGGAGAAAGCAGGGCTGAAAGATGCGAGATGGAGCTGTCCAGCTTCTAGTCTGGACGGGAAGATAATTGCCGAGACGGTCTTCCAGAGAATCAATCCTATCCTCTGCACTTTGGATCCCGGATCCCATAAAGAAACTTCATGCAAACCTTGTGGAATCACCCAGACAACATCTAATAAAGGACAGCACAGGTGTGTCTGTGTGTGTGTGTGTGTGTGTGTGTGTGTGTGTAGGAGAGACCTGTCTGTAAAGGGCTTCAGGGAGAAAGGAGAAAATTGTAGAGTCAGCCAGAGCACAGACAGCTCCACTTTAAGAGAAGAAGGAGCACCTACCTCAAGGTTCTCTAGCCTGGTTTTGAGAGACTGCAAAGTTTGCCCGAGTTGACTGAGAGTCTCCGCAGCAGGGGTTCTGGACAGGTCCCCCATGGTATTTTTCCCGGAGCCTGACTGTTTTCTGCCCGCTCCAGGCTTGGCTTCATTGGGTCCACTCTCCAACAAACTCTGGCTTTCACACCTGCCCAGTTTGGTGGTCAGTTCCCGGATAGTCTCTTTCTGGTTCATAATGGTCTCCTTCTGTTGCAGCACTGTCTCACGGAGCTGCAACACATTGGTCTTGAGGTCCTCAGCGCTGCCGCTGCTCTGAACCGAGGTACACATGTCCATATCTACCGGCACCGAAGTGCAGATGAAACGGGTCTGTCCGAAATTCTGGGCCAGGCATTCCAGGCACACGGAGAAGAGGACCACGAAGCACCACGGGATACTGCCTGGCATGGTTGGAAGGATCCCAATGTTTCCGGGACCGGACAAGTCCTCTCTACTCCCCGACTCTCCCGCAGTAGTCTGCGTGCTGCGGTGCCTGGGAGTTCAGAGCCGTGGATCTGTCAGTCCACCCCCTAACTGCCGAGCAGACTGCGGAACCTCACAGCCTTTTATGCTGCTGCGGGAGGGGCCTTCACGGTGCGGACGTCATCAAGGCAGGAATCCCATTTTAATTGTCTAGTGACCCGTTCCACATCAGAGGAAGGGGATCTGGCAAGAACGGGGGTGAAGACAGGGGGTGTTCCTAATTCCGCATCATCCCATCCCCAAGAGACGCTCTGGGTCTTTCCCCTCTTTCCCAAACGTCCTTACAACCCCCTTCGCTTTCCTCTCCCTCACCTCCTCCTCCTCTCTCCTAGCTCCTCCCTTCCGCCCCAGTTATTTCCCCATCTGTTGAACCTGGCCCTTTAGTCTCTCCTCCCACTCCCGCCACCCACCCAACTATGAAGAGCTTGGGACAGGGGAGCAAGGCAAGTGGACTTCACGTCTACACAACACTTTACAGCTTACAAAGAGCTTTCGTAGACAGTATCGCATTTGATTTTTGCCAATAACCCTGTGAGGAAGATATATCTCCTATATACAGATTTGGTAAAGGTTAGCGCAGGTTCGAAGACACCTATTATACAGATGAAAAAACTGAGACTCAGGGTAAGAAATGACTGAAGGTGGACCCGTATGCTTCAAACCCAAATCCCCTTTCCTTATGATTTAAACCATTAGGGCTTAAAGCTAGTGTGCTCTTTCAGAATTTCCAACGGGGCTAGAAAAGTGAAGAGGTACCAGGAAATGATTTAGGCTCTGGCCAAGTGAGACTCGGGGTGGGAGTGGGAGTATGAGATGGGAATGGCTTTACGTTTGTTAGATGTTTAGTTGTTGATTTTAAACAAAACAAAACACACAAAATCCCCTGATTCCTATTCCTTCCTTCCTGAGACTCTTTCTGAATTCCTGTCTCCTATCTCTTCCTCCTCTAGTCAGCCCCTACATTAGGGGATGCAGAGAACACACACACACACACACACACACACACACACACACACACACACACACA